CGACCTGCATGCCAGGACCAGCTTATCGAAATGGATCCTCATCGCACAGGCCGGTTTCGATCGGCAGAAGGAGTTGGCCTCTCACTTGAGCTGCCCCGGAACCCTAATGGACCCCCTGAGTTTGCTGCCTTTGCACCTCTTTCTTTGTAGGGGCAATTAAAATCTTGGCAGATGCGGGTGAGTAGGGGGCAGGGGACAGACCCGGCCATGGGAGCGGCAAGAGACTCATTTGGGGATGAATTCTGGCCGAGCTGTCCAACGCCGTCAGTTTCCTTTTGGGACATCCCCTCTCGTCTGTTTCGTGAGGCCAGTGATGCTCCAAGCAGGCGATGCATTTTCAGGGTTGCCGCGTTGCGAGTGCCTGGAACAGAATCTGAGCACCATTTGGAAATCAGCCGACAACTTTCGGACCGGCTCCGCCACGGCATGGATCTAGAGCAAACCTGACCTGGTGCACCTTCTATTTTGGGAGTCAATTTGTAGGAATCACTTTCAAATTGGATCGCTTTTCCTGGATTGTCTCTAGAAACATGGTTCTACCCTGCCAGGGATTTGGGTATTTCCATTGAAACCTGTACTGCCTTTCCTCAAGCCTTGGGTGTGCCAAAGTGGTCAACCAAAAACGGGGCCAACGTCAAAAGGACAACCCGTCTTGGGGGTATGTTGATCGTTTTCCTTTGGCCCACATTGGTTTCATCCACAAGAAGGTGCCTTCAGAAAGCAAAATCGTGGCAAACCGGGTTTTCCAGGACCCCCACGCGGAATGCACCAGAAGGTGCTTCTCGCCCCATGAATCTTGGGCTCTCAAAATTTGCCCTTTGGAGGACGCCTTAGGTCCCTTTCCTGTTTCAGGATATTGGCCTTGAGATTTCCACTGATGATTTTCCTGGCTTCCCCGGTTCTGAGGGAGAGCCCCGAGCGCCAGGTCGCGTGCCCTTGTCCAAGTTCTACGGCCCCCTGGCGGGAGTTGGACTCGGGGTTTTGGACCCCCCTTTGGGACCATTGGGACCCGGTCCGGGCGCCTATGGCGTTGAGTCAGAACGTACGTGGTTGATCTCAGAGTTTTCCGGAGTTCATCCATCGGAATGGACACCCGGATTCACAAAGCGATCACTAAAAGGGGAAACCCCATCAAATTGGCTACGTGTGGTTTAGGAAAGATAGTGATTCCCATAAGGAAAGAAGGAACCCTTTGACTTTCAGACAGCCCTGCAAGTGAAGGCTGGAGCCGGCTTGATGCTTCATTTGTTGTGCCGAAAAGAACCCTTTGACTGAAGCCTAAAGTGGCAGAGGGTTCTTGTTGCACGACACAGGGTGACCCCCCTTAGCCATCTGCTGACCCCCGGTTTTCTTGGGCGTGGCCGCTTGGTTTCATCCACTCGCCGAGGCACGGGCCTGGAGGCGGACTGGCGCTTCGCCGAGTCTGAGGCGCGAAAAGAGACCTCCGGTGGCCCTGTGTCCAACCAGTTTTGGGCTAGGGGGTTCTAACAAATCAAGTCCAGGTCCAAAAATCAACTAGCTGTAGGTAGGGGTATAGTTATAGGGGTTCCCAAATCAACTTCCCGAAAGGAGCTGAAGTTGATTCGTTGAGGTGAAACCACTTCAAATGGAGATCCAACACCATGAAATGTTGGCTTCCTGATGGTTAGATATGTTCCTTGGATCTCATCCAAAACTATGTTGGACAGGGTAGACGAAATACGAAGCATTAAGGCTTCAGGTGTGTTTCTCTTGAGGCTTGAACAAGCCCCCCAAGAGGATCAAACCACCCTTTGACTGGGGGTTTGCACGCTTCCCCGTTCTCTGCCCTTTTTTTTGCATCAAAGGCAGCTTGAGCGAAGAGGGCGATCAAAAGGGAGATGCAGAGGCGCAGAATCAGCGCCCTTGGGCTCCCTGGACTTCAATGGCCTTTCGTTTGCCTGCGAGTACGTGCTATTTCCCCCGGCCGGTTTTTGCAGGAAACCTATCACGAGTGGAACAGGTTAAGTTTTTTTTTTTTGCCATGTGAATTATGCAAATGGAAGTAGGGGGTTGGGCCATTTGAGTTGCAAAGCACAGGTCGGACTGTTGCTGAGGCAGTAAGTTCCCGTTCGGGACCCCACACTAAAAATGGTCAACCCCCCCCTCCACCCCCCAACCCCCGCGGCACAAAAGGTTCCCGCGCTTGCGAGTCATTAATGGGAAATTCAATCCATGGGGGATTTACCTTGGGGGTTAACTTCGTCAACGGATCGCAAAAAATAAATGCTTAGCTTGGCTCTGGTGACAATCCACAGAGCGGAAGCTTGCCACCACCCATCTGGTGGTTTACAACCATCCCTAAGGGTCCCTTGGTACCTAAGGAGGTAATTAGCGAGCGACCCCTTGCAACTCCTGGCAAGCCATGCTCGCAGGGCACCAAGGGGGACCCTTTGGGCATGGTTACTAAACTGTTTGGGTGTTCAGCCGACCTAGTACTGGCTGGCAAGTAGGTTTCCTCACAATGGCCACAAATGGGGTAACTGCGGTGAGTCGCCTCAAAACGCGCGGGTTATAAATCTGCCAAGTAGCTTGACTTGCTGTTGCTCAGCAGGGAATGAGACATGGAACGACCCCTATAAACAATCCAACTGGTGGTCCTGGGTCATTCCCCGAGCATCAGCTAGTTGAAGACCCAAGAAAGCGGCGATTCGTCCCGGATCCACGCGGCCAGGCTTACCTCCGGGAGCTTGGAGCGCTGGATGAGAGCAGCGGCACCAAGCAGGCTGCATCAGAACGAAAGCTTTGGGAGGTATCCTCTGAAGCCACTGTTCTTGGTTCACTTGCAATTGTTTGTTTGACCTGTTGATTTTGTGGGGGCTGCGGGTGCTTTTTTCGGACTGACCTTTTGGTCTTGCGTTGCCCAAAGGCTCACTAATACTTGAGGGCCCTGGGGTGTCCGTAAGACCTCTGGGTCTGGCATTTTGTGTACCTGCACCTGGACCAATGGATTTCCGAGTTCCGGTCCAAAAATAACCGCTGGGGAATGGAAGGTTCCAGAGGGGTTGCCTTCCAGCGTTTCTGTGGAAAATCAACGAGAACCCCGGTAAACTGCTTACAGTAGAGTCTCTGAGCCGTCTGACATTGGGGATTACCTGAACAAGCACATGACATCCGCGTTCAGATATGTGCCTAGATAAAAATGGCGGTTTTCCTGGCATTCCCTTTAAACTAACCCCCAAAAGGGTACCGAGCCTCAAAACGCACACGCCCATGGGGGGTGTTTGAAACTTAGGGGACAGTAAAATGGCAACAGTGTCCTTTCCCTCCAACTCCAATGCAGACCCGCCCCCTGCAACGGACAACCCCAACCTTCGGGCAGAAAAGGAAAACATGGAGAACACCAAACCAAGTACCCCACATTATCTCCATTGGATTTGTTCCTGAGTTGGACAGGCCTAATCTGGAGCTCCAAAGGCCAAATTGTTCCTACCCAACACCCACAAAAGGGTACCAATGCAAGAAGAAGGAATCGGTCCATGCGGTTTCTTAAAATAGGAAGCGGTCCAGCAAATGGCTTGGTGTGCTTTTGGCTTCCTTTAACCTTGAGGGTGTGTCCATTTTTAGGGGACCCCCCCATATGGTGGTTTGATTGAAATACCAACCGAAAGGTGGTTGATGCAGTGATATAGCGCAAGCCCCCGGCGCAGGTGCTCATTCCCAATTACATCCAGGCGGCTTCCAACTGCATCGTGCCTTTGTCCAGAGGGGAGGGGGGGCGGGGGGCAGGGATGATGCAGGCGGCGAACAACACAAGTTTGGGTAAAACGAGCAACGTGATGAAGGTCCACCCCTTGTTTCAGGCTACACTTATGGTAAAAGGATGCGATGCCATGGAACCAGCAACACGATGAATTTGAACAGTTCCCAAATGATGACCAAACTGCCAGGGCGCAATATTGGTTTGGTTTCCGTGTCGTTTGCGTGTTGTTTGTTTGCGTGTGTTTGTGTGTTTGTGTGTGTGTGTGTGTGTGTTTTTGTGTGTGTGTGTGTGTTTGTGTCTGTGTGTGCTTGTGTGTGTGTGTGTGTTTGTGTGTGTTTGTGTGTGTTTGTGTGTGTTTGTGTGTGTTTGTGTTGTGTTGTGTTTGTCTTTGTGTTTGTGTTTGTGTTTGTGTTTGTGTTTGTGTTTGTGTTTGTGTGTGTGTGTGTGTCTGTGTTTGTGTGTGTGTGTGTGTGTGTTTGTGTCTGTGTTTGTGTGTGTGTGTGTGTGTTTGTGTGCGTTTGTGTGTGTGTGTGTGTTTGTGTGTGTGTGTGTGCGGAGTGACAGAATGCCCTGTCACCACTCTTTCGGTTTTCCAGCAGGGGGCACAGGCCCATGGTGGTGACCTGTGCCAACGAAGCTAACCACCATGGGGGAAACGCGGGCTGATCATCCGCGTGTACCTGCTTTTGTGAAGTGATGTTTCTGAAGGTCCTTTTGGTCCCCTCCCTGAACCGCCGTTGCTTTTGTGTGCCCCTGCTCAAGTAGCTACAGGGAAGCCAAGCGTTATGCGAGTCGAAGCTCATCATACTCGAGACTCATCAGTTGTACTCGAAACTCATCAGTTGTACTCGAAAGATTAGCACTCTCCATCTGGAGTTCAAGTGTGTACACCCCATTCGTGGGGAATCCTCGGGTGTACCCATTGTGTGACCCCGGGCCGGCTCTGTCGGAAAATTTAACCTCAACGTTCTTATCATAGAACAGCGGAATTTCACATTTAACCAGGAACGAGGTTTCACTAAAGGGAAGACAGCCGTCAGATCATAGAGACGTCTCACTAGGTCTGCTGCTGGCTGCTGACTTGAACTTGCATGGACTTGCATTTTGTCGGACTCGTTCCTCTCAAGATTGTGGAGTTGCGGTTTTGCATTTGTTGTGCCATCATGTCTCGACGTGATGATCGTGACAGATCTAGGACTCGGCGCAGACGTGATCGGAGTCCTTCCCCTCAAACTCGCAAAGCACGCCGACGTGACCACAATGACAACCAGGTCTCGGAGGGCATGGATTGGAACAACCTGGTATCTTGGCAACACAATTCCGGCTACAACTCTGCCAACACTTTCCCGATGATGCCCACCAATTTTCAATCGACTCACAGCCCCACACAGCAATTCCAGCATCCAGCGATCAACTACATGATGCCGATCCCTCCTGACCCCACGCCAGCGAAGTTCATGCCACCCGTGATGCCACCACCGGTCACTACTCCCCAACCTACACCGCCACCTGGACCTCCTGCGGCTCTACCGGTTCGCCCTCAGAAAGCCTGGCTTGATGTCAATCAGCTCTACAACTTTAGCCTGCCCATGACCGTTGCCAACACTCCGCATGGCAACCTGCGCGACATGTCTGGCATGGATATTCGGGACGTTCGCCTGGTTCAGGTTATCCATGGGGGCCTCACCAACTGGCTACTCCGACCGTTCGCTCACGGCAGATTCGTGACGTGGGAAGGCTTTCGCACTCGCACCGAGGCCTTACTTTGGAGTACCTGTTCCAAACTACTACGACGATCACAGTCGCTCAACCTGCTCACCCTGGAAAAGGACCTTGCCAACTCGCTGGGTCTCAACATTGATGACTTCAATCAGCGGATCAAGGTTCACGACCATTTGGCCAGCTTGGTACTTCAATTTCTTCAGCAACATCACACCTCTCTCGCACCTTCCACCCAGACAGATGACATGGTCAAGAAGTACAATGATCTAAATCGTGCGCACGAACTGCTCCAAGCTCAGTATTCCGCATCGCTGCGCGCTTCGACCTCTCCCACGATGGCAAGCCAAAAAGATGACGCAGAGTTGGTTACACCGCCACCGGTCAACCACACACCATCCTCGTCGCCTGCCAGCTCCCTTCCTACAGCCAGCGCAGCGGCCCTTGATGGCAAGTCATTTGACAGCGCGGTGCAACCTCGGATCATCCAGTCTCTTCACGGAGTGTCGTCACCGCCGTCTAAGCCAGCGGCGTCGCAATTGCTCACCATGCACAGCACACCCGATGAAGTTGTCAAGTACTACACATGGACCAGTGACCAGCTTCGCCTTTATCTCAAGCAATCGCCCACAACCACGACTTTGGCGTCACTGGTCAAGTGGGCCAATCACCCGTCCCGGCTCAACGGCAACAAGTCATTAGATTCCATGGCGACGCAGCTCCTTCAGGCGCGTCAACGCATGCCGAAAGGCGACGCACCCACTCTCGGGGCGATGGCGGCTTCGTGGGGACTGGAGCCCGGCTATCTTACCAAGCTCACTGAGAAGGCATTGAGTCACCTCATCGTGACCGCTCGCCTACTCAGCGGATGAGCAGGCATCTTAACGACCTTCGTTCTCTTATGAGCCCGGAGCGGCAACCATGTCACGGATGAGTCAAGGTGAAAACTCGTCCGTCAATTTTCTGCGTTGCACCAGTTTGATCTTGTGCTTGCTCGTTCTTGCATTGCCTTGTGTGTGATTGTCTGTGCAGCTTGTATCCATGTCGCCGCCTTGTGGTAGATTTCATTGGTTGCATTTTCACCATGTTGGATGAGCTTCGCCGCTGTGGAATCTATGATGATGTTGCACAATGGCAGTCTCTGGACGACTTTTTACACTCGTTGACCATGTTCTCTACGTGCTGGCAATACTGCTTCCCTGGACTACCACCACCGTCGATACCAACTGATGAGTACGAATCAATCACACAACTACCGTGGTTGGGCCTCATTCTCGAAGTCTTAGTTGTGGTCCGGATTGCCCTTCAGATTCCGAATCACGCTATGTCATCCTCTCAGCACACCGTGGCCAACAGGTACGAGATTCATAGATGTCGGTGCACTGCCTATTTATTGATCAGTTTCTTACAACGTCTCATTTCACAAGATCATGGCTACTTTCCGCCGTTCTTTGAAGTCCTTCACTTCTACAAGACTTCTCTCTTGTGTGAAATCATGCACTCCACTTTTGCCGACACGCGACATCTTCGCTCATTGCGGGCACGATTTCCTGACCTCTATGACTTCATACACGATCCAGGTCATCATCAACAACCGTGCGTCTACATCCGACTTTCCCCATGGCACACACCCTACTATGTTGGGGCGACTGATCAGGATGTTCTACGTCGTGAACACTCACGCAGTCGCAAATTTCTACAACTACTTCGTGGACGTCATGCCTTCTTCGAACCCGCGCTTCACTACTGGAAGCGATCCAATACTTACTGGCTCTTCTGTGCTGTTCCGGTGGAGATCAAACTTCCTGTTTCCTCGGTTTGGGTTCAAGAAAGTAAATGGCAATACTTGCTACGCCCGCATTTGAATGCGCCCTGGGTACACAGAATTTTGCGAAAGGTGGGCTTCCGGGAACACCTCGTGGATTTTCGACGTCACTCGTTGTCGTCTCCCACTTCCCTCAGCTTGCACAAGCGCTTTCGACGACGACTACATCCGGAACTCCAACGGCAACTACGACCCGACATGCTGGATGACATTCAGGCCCATTACTCTATTCTCTATCAGCTGGGATCCAATACAGGAGCATCGTTCCAAGCCATGCGTGACCTACTGTCGGCAGCTTTCCCTCCTACTCAGCTGTACTACTTACTGCGGCTCGCCGTCTTTGTCAACGAGCCCTTCCGCTCCAAGGCGCAGAAACTCCTCGCCCAGGTGTTGCGCAAACGACGGCTACAACCACCCACCACTTTGACACAACTACTCCTACCGCCGCTACATGTCCGGAATTGGAAAGCTCTACTTGGCACATGGCTACAAAGCTGGATTGCTTCTCATCGGGATTTGTTCCCTTCTCTTTTCCTTCCAAAGATCCGGGTGGTGGAAACTCGCAGTGCCACGTTGGGCGACAAGATCTACAACTACCGCACATGGCAGCGCAGATGGACTCCTGAAACATCCTTTCCGTGTCGCTGTTTGGACATCGATGATCACCATATACACCGAGCACACGGTCATGCTGTAATGGTTGATGAGTTTTCTCGCATCAATGCGGACATTGACATGGAAATCATGGCCGCATCAATGAAGGATCAGTATTTCGGTGATGTCGACTTATTACATCAACGTTTCACCACGCAACTTCGCAAACTTGCTCGTCGCTGGCATGTGCATGGTTCCAGTCTTCTTTCAGATCTGCAGCCGGTTTTGACTCAGTTAATGGACACTCATCGAACTAACCTCCAAGATCGTGCTTATTGGTCATCGACATCGTTGCAGCGCACCGTGGCTTCTCTGTCTTCGTGGGTTGTTATCCCGGCGGATCATTTTCCCTCCCGCGCACATGTGATTTGTCCGTCCCTGTTTGCCATACTGATGCGGAAGACCTTTTGCTCGGGAGATGTCTTCTCGCTTTGCCGTGAATCCGCAGCATCTTTTCGCTCTGAAGTGGTAACCACGGTACCTTCTCTCCTACGTCAACGATATGCATGGGGACTTCGACTTCAAGCACCGTTGCCCACAGCACGTATCCTTCCAAAGCCGACCAAGGACTGGCAGAAAGCACGACCCATCATTTCATTCTTTCGCACGTGGGCTGCTCCCTTCCTCACGGTCTTCGGCGCACTCATATTTGAACTTACCAAAGCTGCTTTTCCCGACATTGCAGGTCAACTTTCAGTACAAGAACTTGTCCAGCAGCTGTGGGAATCGCTGTCAAAAGCAGATCCCGATGAGTACATCCACCTGGTGTCGCAAGACCTGTCAGGCTTCTT